TACTTTTGCTACCTGCATGGACCCTAGCTGGATTTACACTATCTCTTTAGCCGCTGGCGATTGTAGGCAACTTAAGCCACAAATTAAAATGACAAGAATACTACAATTAAAAAAGTGGAAGATTAGAATTGTTCTTCAAATGTTTCGGGACTTACGTATCCTCTCAGGAGGACAATAGTTTTACAGTACTTTAATCCCCCTTGAGGATACAGCCACTTACAATCCGAGCTACTAATTCAAACTTCCAATCATAAAATATTTATATATTTACAAATGGGTTAACAAATCTAATTCTTTTACAAAAGCAATAATTAAATGAGAACTGACATTAGTAAAAAAATCCTTCATAGTTCGTGATTTGAAATAGATATCCCTTGTGATGGAATATTCAACACAGTCAAGCAAGACATGCTTGACCGTGATTCTTTCATCACAAGGGATACAAAACGGAGGGTCCTCGCCTTTCATTCGGTATTCATGAGTATATCTTGTGTGGCCAATACGACATCGTCATATGATGACCTCTTCAAATCTGGACTGACAACCCAAGTAGGAGTAACCAGTAAAGGGTTTTATTTCATGTAATTTAAGATACCTACTTGGGTGTCCCACTTCTTCTGCATCAGATCACGGATGTAGGTTCTAATGCTAGCCTTGTAATCAGAGTATGGGGTAAGAAGTGGTGTCACAGATTTGTTGAGTGCTGCCTTAGCAGCAAGATCAGCCATTGTGTTCCAAGAAATGCCAACATGGCTGGGTAACCACCAAAAGACCATTTCGCATTGGCCAGTAGCAAGCTCATTATAAAATAATTTCAATTAAAATGGATGTTTACAAGAAAGGTTTTTAATGGCCTGAAGGCACGAAAGAGATTCGGAAAAGATGATGTATTGTTTATATTTACGATGTTTATTAATATATTTAAGAGCTGTTAATATGGCGTTTGCTTCTGCTGTGAAAATAGAGCTATTATTTGGTAGTCGAGAAGATATTGTTCTGAATCCAATATTGTTCTGCACATGCTACTGCGCCACCATCCTTGGACCCATCTGTAAATAAGGGTTTGTATGTATTATATTCACTTTTTAATTGATTATATTCTTGTTTATATTGTAATTCATTAGTTTCAGATGTCTTAAACTTTGTCAGAGTTAGGCCAACTTCAGGCCTCACCAGTTGCCAAGGTTGAAATGAATGGCTTAATTCTGTGCCCAAGAGTCGGAACAAGAGAAGAGTTTTGTTGTATAAATCCCCATAAAGAGGATTAAAGACACAGTTATATGCAGGGTTAGAATTGTTAGAGGACAGTTTGGTAATATATTGTAATGATAATTTTATACGGCGTTGTGCAAGAGATGGCTCATCTGCCTCGACGTAGAGGCTGTCAACAGGGGAAGTTCTAAAAGAGCCAAGACAAAGTCTCAGGCCTTGGTGATGGATAGAATCTAAAAGTTGTAGGTTGCTATTGCAGGCTCCACCATATACGATGGTGCCATAAGCAAGTTTGAACGGACCAATGATCTATACAAATGTAGGAGGGTAGCTTGATCCCTCCCCACTTAGAATTTGAAACCCGCGAAGGTCCCGGTTTAGAATTGGTCTTCAGTAACCCATGCTTGTCGTAAAGGCGACTATGCTTGTCGTAAGAGGCTCGGGTGGTCAGGCTCACTGACTTAGTTGACACATGTCATCGGTTCCCAATTGCGCAGATCGATGCTCATGCTGTTGATCACTGGATTGTCTGGTCCAGGCTCGATTATTTACAGACCGCCGCCATAGAGCTGGTATATTGCTGAGTGCGGCGTTAAACTAAACTCACTCACTCACTCACTAGAATTTGAAACGACTTTCATCAAGTCAGTTGCCTTCAGGCAGTTAGTTTTAAGGGATTAATATGCGGTAGAAACGTTAGATGGGAGTCAAAAATTAGACCCAGGAACTCGGCCTTCTTCACAACTTGATGGGATTGCCATTTAAAGAAAGTTCTTGGTCTTTATGAGGTTTGTATTTACGGCATAAATGTACACAATTAGTTTTGGTTTCGAAAATTTAAAGCCGTTTTCAAGACACCATTTATCTATTTTGTTTAAACACAACTGCAGTTGCCGTTCAATAGTATGCATATTTTTCCCACGACAATAAATATTAAAATCATCCACAAATAATGATCCATCGATTGTATCGGTTAAAACCTTGGATAAACTGTTAATCTTGATACTGCCTTGTGGGACACCCTGATCCTGATTGTATTGATTAGACACGGTAGAACCCACGCGGACTTGAAATTGTCTGTCATTTAAAAAGATGGCTATAAATTAAGGCAAACGGCCTGGCAATCTGAAGCCATGTAATTTTTTTATAATGCCATATATCCACGTCGTGTCATATGCTATTTCAAGATAAAAAAAGACAGACACTTCGTCTTGTTTATTAATTTGCTAGACCTCAATCCACATTATGAAGAAAATAAACAAACACTTGTTTGGCGGTTAAGGTGGAGTTTAATAAGTCCCTTAGGTGAAAAATATCACACAGCCCAAGACTGACCTAAAATACTATAAACACCACAGACACCATAATCATGGCATGTCTCAAGTAATAACACTATTAACAGAGCTGTAAGTCATAAGCAGAAAGATCAGATAAAATATTGAAGGTGTTAAGGCAGAACAATGTGTGATGAGGCTGAGTAAGAAAACGAAAGAACATATGAAGGCAGGGATGGAGGGTGATTATACCAAAACTTAAGAAATGAAAGTTATGAAAGACTCCGCACACGCATGGCAGGCAGGACGGAAAGACGAGGACGCATGCGTGGTAGAGAACAAGACAGACACTTCCGGTAGTTATGCAAATTAAACATCATGACACATGATTCTACAATTTGCTAGACCTCCATCAACACTATGAAGAAAATAAACAAACACTTGTTTGGCGGTTAAGGTGGAGTTCAATAACATAGGTAAACAAGTCGCTGAGGTGAAAAATATCACACAGCCCAAGACTGACCTAAAATACTATAAACACCACTGACACCAAGGCAAAGCCCGCCAAACAAGAGAGAGAGCATCCAAGAGCTGAACAGTAAAATGTCCACCAAACATCAGTTCACAATTGTTATATTAACCATATAACTGAAGGCATGAATTAACATTGAGGGGAAACTAGAATGTTGACAAAAGAAATCTGCACGGACAGATCCAAAAGGTAACCCACTTGAAGTAGGCAAGCACCATCCTGTCAATACGTCTATTTCTCCAGTCTTAAAGTAAATATGTAACATAACATCACATCTAAACCAAAAGGAAGCCATGTTGAAAATATAGGTTCAAACAGCTATGCAGATTCAACATTATAATATACTGAGTCAAAAAAAAGAAACTTCACATTCTTTCTTCAGGGCACTATAAAAGAACAAGAGTTGGGAGATGGTTAAATTGTTAAATTGTTATTATTTCATTGCTGAGATTTGTGTGATGTACTCGATACACAGACAGTGCCATAATCAGTTCCAATAGGTTACACCGCCGTTCCAAAACATGGGTATACAGAATGTCAAGTCACAAGAATAAAAATGCGAAATTTCTCAGTTCAATATCGTGTATGGCCGCCCCGCGCATTCACCACTGCCAAACATAGTCTCCTCATCGACTGCCTGATGCTTGTGAACACGTGGTTGGGGATTCTGCGCCATTGCTCTTGCAAGGCAGCCCCAAGTTCCTGCAAATTCTGAGGTTGGTTCCTAAGACCACGAAGCCTTCTCTGAAGTGCATCCCAAACGTGATCTATTGGATTAAGGTCAGGGGACCTTGATGGCCAGTCCATGACGTTGATTCCAGCGTTTTAAAGGAAATTTCGTGTCAACATCGCGGTATGCGGCCGAGCATTATGCTGGAACTGTAGACCTGGGCCATGAGCCGCCATGAAAGGAACGAGTTCAGGGGTGAGCACCTGGTTGCGGTAAGCAGCAGCTGTGAGGTTTCCACGGATGACCAGAAGTCGGGAACGGTTGTTCGCGGACGACGCGACCTTTGGGCGATCAGAAGTGGTGCCAGTTTGTTGTAGACGACCTCGCAAGTCATACACAGTACGACGGCTGCATCCCATTGCTCTTCGACGTCAATAACTGATTTTTTCCAACTGATTTTCCAACGTTCACGTTGCACATTTGACAATCGTGGCATTTTAAGTACCGTGAGAACTGTGGTTTAAAAGTGTTTTTTCAATGCTTGAAGCCAATGCAAACACGTTCATATGAAGAAAACTTCAATGCGAAGATCACGTGATCGACTGCACTTGCAAAACCTGATTTGGCACTAACGTCATTTGCACGACGAATGGATGGGTTTGAGTGGGTTTTGCTAACGTTTTTCTAGAGTCGAAAGATAGGGATCCCATTTCGGATACATAGATGTATCATCAGCGAAAAAGTATTCATTATTTTTCAAATTACATTTTGTGAAGTTTCTTTTTTGACCCAGTATAAAAACAGTTTCTGAAAGCAATCATCAATATATACAAATAAATGAAGGAAATGGCTTGACATTTAGCCTTTGAGAAAATCAAGGCAATAGAAAAACTGGTAATGTGTGAACATATATAGTTGTGACAAGTTATGACAGCCTGATTAAGAATACAAATATGACTGACTACATGGGAAAGTTCTGTACTCTGACCAAGTTATTTAAATGTTTGTGCCATTCTGCCAGAAACTCAAGAGTTTGATATAGTCCTTATAAGACGACGATGACCAAAGGCAGATTGCACAATAGTGTCACTGTCACTTGAGCCTGTAGCTGCAGCCAGCGAAGCGCCACCCCTTCTTAAGCTGTGGAACGAGTATGATTGAGAGTCAAGCCACATTTGTGCAAAAGGCAGCTAAACTTTTGGTCTTATCGCTGTCGAGACCAAGAACGTAACTGTCCCTTGTAGCACTGAACGAATGCTGGATCAGAAAGTCTGGCTGGTATGGCGTTCACCATACGACAATAGGCACGCACAGGGCAACATAATGAATGAGGCATTCTTGTTATAGGCACACAATTCACTGATCTGCAGGACTGTAGAGATTTTAGTCCATTTAATCCGAATGGTTAATCCTGACACACCCAAAGAAATGTCATATCTTGTTAACTGTTTGGAATGGTCAAACGAGTTTCCAGTGGAGCTAATGAACTGTGATTTTCTGAGCATAGCAAAATATCCCAGTAAAATCATCGCCCACAAAGATAAGTCTTCATTGTTGTGAGGATCAAAATGATGAAACATGGCTTCCAAGTGCCAAGGCCATAAAGGTAAGCGTTGATTGACCAAGTGTGTACTCGTTTTCTCCAGACCGGTTAGTGTGAGTTTGACACTAGGAGCATAAAAATCTGTAGTGTCTATGCCAAGGATGGTAGACCAGGTCCTGACTCCGGAAATGTAGTTTCTGACTGACTGGACACTCTTAAAGTTCTCTGTTAGAAAGCATGCATAACGACTCAAAACTTCAGTGGTGGTTGGAAAATCCTTACAGTTTACTTCGTCACAGAAAAAAAGAGAGGTTCTCAACTGGCAGTGCATGTTTTTGTGTGTACCTGGTCGGAAAGCAGCATGCTGAGCTGCCTTCACTGCTGTACCTAGTGTTTTCCACTGTGAACCTGAAGTCAGAAAGAGTGATCAAGTGAAAAATGAACGTCTTTAATTCCAGATTCTACCAAAGCACAATCCTTGAACATGTCAAAAATGACGTTTGAAAGAGATATCATCTGTCCATCAAGATAAACAATCAGGGCCACGGTTTTCTTTTCCAGGGAGGTGTATTGCCTTGATTTATATTTTCTGGTTGGCACAAGTAAACCATATGTTACGAGCTATCGCAAGCATAACTGTATCTTTGCATTTTCCTGAGCCTAGCAGATCCACTGAAGCAGAATTGTCACAATGTATCAATAAGCGTTTCCGCTGCAGTTGATCAGACCAGCACTTAATGGCTATGTACACTGCCAACATTTCGCAAACACATATATGTTGGCCTAACAGTCTGTCAGGGAAACAGGCATGAAAGAAATGCACTTGGTCGTCGATGTTCATGATACCACGTATACCACCCAAAGTGGCATCCGCGGCAATGACGTGGTCACACCCACTCCATGAATGGTCTGGAATTATTGATACTCCATTGATGTCCTCCATGAATATTAAGAACCATCGCATGTCCTTCTGGGCCTCGTGAGATATGTTGATGTGGCAGAAGTTACTCTTCACACTGCGCAGTAAAGCCACCGATAAATAGCCTGGATGATCTGATTATGTCTGATATGTAAGCCAGCTTGCCAATCAGAGACTGTAACTGCCGTCTGGTACATGTTTTCTTGTACAACATTTTATGAAGCACTTGTTTGATTTCCACTAATTTTTCAGGAGGAATAGCTACTGTCATAGCCATAGTGTCAAATTTCTTGCCCAAAAATACCAACTGAGCGCTTGGGAAGGAGCATTTTTCCACTGCTGGCATCATCCCCATGTCAATGATGAGATTTTGCAAGACTCTAAAACCCTCCTCAGCTTTTGTGGTATCTTGCTATGTCATCAATGTGGTTGACTCCTTCATAACCTCTTTGTTCAAATATGTACATGAGGGCATTTGTAGTTCTCTGAGCTGCCATAGCGCCTGTCTGGATTCCAAAGGGCACCTTTGTGTCGAAATATAATTGTCCATTCCATGTGAAACCTAGCAGGTGATAATCTCCTGGGTCTACTGGTATCCAACGATAACACCGTTTGATATCAAGCAGCCTCTACCATGCTTGTTGATAAGGCGAATCAGATGATCAGCCGAATCAGATGATCAGTGGATGGATAGTGTAGTTTACAAGGGTCCCCTAGGAAACTGTCTTGAGGAATACCATCATTGACAGAAGAGTTGCCAGGAAAAGACAAGTCCATGACTGTTCTTCTCTCCAGAGAGTCTTTCTTAGGGACTGACATAAGAGGGGACAACATCATTTCACAACATAGAGGTTGCAGGCAAAGGGCCCATAATGGCTCCGTAGTGAAGTTCCTTCACAATGAAATCTTCTATATGTGCCTTGAAATTAATAACTGACCTATGATTCTGATGACTAGCCTTTGGTAAAGGAGGAGACAACTTCGTGTAGCCCACTGGCCATCCAAAAGTCATAAAATCTAAAACTTCGGTATCCCTAGATGCTTGATTGGCATTTTAGAAGATGCTAGTTGATGAAGATAGAGATTTTTCTGGGTTACATCTTCTTTTTATTCTTGAGTACAACATTTCAGGGCTTGTTCTGGCCCCATCATCAGGTAAACTGAACAGTAACTGTTAACTCTGGCCGTGACGTCACAATGCTTATGACGTCACAATGCTATGACGACGCAATACATGTGGTGGTCAATAGATACAGATGACATGGCTAATAGAATACATGTTATTTTGAATATATAAGATGTCATTTACTGCAAAATTGTGTAGCTACTGGTCTGCCTGTCTCACCAATGTAGATGTCACATTTCAGTTTATACACACAGCCTTTAGGGTTGGATATACCCCTTACCATGCCTTTAGGGTTGGATTGCACCCCTTACCATGCATTTGGGAGGTAGACACCCTGGTCCCTGTTTATTGCTGGTTTTGTGTGTTTGATGAAGATAGCCTCAATCAACTTGAGTTTACGCCAGTCACTGATGTTTTTTGAGGGGACTTCAGTTTCCCAGTCAATTTCATGATCGGGATTAATCATAATGTGTTCAGAAACTGCAGATTTCAGATCTGATTTGTCCACTGAAGTTTTACCAAATGGTAAGGGGTGCAATCACGCTATATCCAACCCTAAAGGCTGTGTGTATAAACTGAAATGTGACTGTGGTGACATCTACATTGGTGAGACAGGCAGACCAGTAGCTACACGTGTGAAAGAACACAAAACTTCAGTGGACAAATCAGATCTGAAATCTGCAGTTTCTGAACACATTATGATTAATCCTAACTGGCGTAAACGCAAGTTGATTGAGGCTATCTTCATCAAACGCACAAAACCAGCAATAAACAGGGACCAGGGTGTCTACCTCCCAAATGCATGGTACATAAAACAATAAGACAATACCCTACCTCGTCACTGTTCCCATGTATAAAGCATAATTTCTATGTATACACTGCTATTACTTTACATTCTATACATTTATAAATACGTCTCTGTACATTTCTAATTCAATCAACAATTTTGTATAAGTATCTGCACAGTTCTAAATTGATCCATTAATTTTGCAGTAAATGACATCTTATATATTCATAATAACATGTATTCTATTAGCCATGTCATCTGTATCTATTGACCACCACATGTATTGCGTCGTCATAGCATTGTGACGTCATAAGCATAGTGACGTCACGGCCAGAGTTAACAGTTACTGTTCCGTTTACCTGATGATGGGGCCAGAACAAGCCCTGAAACGTTGTATTCGGTATCCCTGTTATTGACAAGCTCTCTTCGGAGAAAGTTTATATTAATACTGGAGGCCACAGAGAGCCGCTTGCCTTTGCAATTTGGAAGTCATGAGTTGAAGATTTTAGCATGTAACTGAATGAAGTAATTATGAGCAATCATTAGGGTGTCCTTGATAGGTCATGTCATCTGAGCATTACTTGATGATTGATGATCAGAGTTTCTTCTGAACTGATTGGCCTGAGCATTCCTCTTATAAGGTGTGTTAACCTGCTTGCAGTGTTTAGCTGGATGATTCGCAGAAACCCCGCGACGTGTGAGGCATTGGCTGCAAATATGTTGTTCCAGATGCCCACGAGCATTCTTGTGCTCCCTGTCTTTTTTGCTGCATGCTCCCCTGGAAAGGGCCACAGTAGAGGGCAGGTTAGGGGTCCAAAAGTCTCCTGGCCTTTATATGTTCAAAGCTATCACTCCATGTGGCACGACCACTTTCAATCTCATGCAGTACATCTTGATGGAAACGCAAAACATTTGCCCACAGGAATTTCTCAACATAAAACATGCACTGTATGAGGTGGTTAGCTCTACTGTCTTTGTAGCATGAAAAGTTCAACATATTGGATTATGTGTGTTTCACTCTGATAATCTGGTACTGACAAGTTCATATACAAGGTATCCTCACTCCCAGAATATTCTTGTGGCCAAGCAACATCGAAAACTGCTTTATAACTTGCTGTGCGAGTGAAACCTGATTTAGGCTTCTTCCCTTTTATTCGTTTCAGTAAAGAATATCCAGACGTACCTGGTTGTTTGGCTGTTGAGTTTGGCTCTGGTGTCGTCGGAGGACGAATCAGTAGTTCTGTCTAATTCTAATAGTTGACGAGCTCTGCTATCCGCTCTGCTGACGGCAGTCTTGTCCTTCCTCAACGATGATAAGGTAACGGTTGACTGCTTTTTCCCCGTCAGCCGCACTGCTAAGATTTGTGACACTAACTCCCCGTTTTGACGTTCTAAAGCCTGGATCGTTTCATTTAAGTCCGAGACCAGTGCAGATTTCTGCGCGTCCTGAGGCAAAGGAAGACTATCCTGAAGTTCTCGTTTCACGGGAGCCGGAGTCTTCTGCCGCTGCAGCGAAGGAACTTTCGTCTACGAGGTAAAGGTTGTCTTCATTCTGTTTGCATAAGCGTCCGGAAGACCCGTCGTGTCCAGATAAAGCTTCTTTACAAGTGGAACACTTACGTTTCGAAGACATGAGTCCAAAGTTGATTATACCAAAACTTAAGAAATGAAAGTTATGAAAGACTCCGCACACGCATGGCAGGCGGGACGGAAAATAGAGGACGCATGTGTGGTAGAGGACAAGACAGACACTTCCGGTAGTTATGCAAATTAAATATCATGACACATGATTCTCTACAATTAGAGCGTTTTTAACAAATGTTTTCAAACGCACTAGGTGATCGACAGTACTTCTGTTTTACGGAAACCAAATTGTATGTCTGCTATAAGGTTATTTGTTTCCAAGTACCAAACAAGTCGATTATTTATCATTCGTCCACAGCTAGTTAGTGAAATTGGTCGATAATTGGACGGATCCGTATGGTCACGTCCAGGTTTAGGTATGGGGTACTACTATAGCGTCACACCATGAGGAAGGAAATTTCCCTGACGTCCAAATATCATCAAAAATATTTAAAAGAGTTTCTAGACAGGATTCCGGTAAATGTTTCAGGAGTTGATAATGTATGTTATCAGCTCCTGTAGCAGTATCGTGAGCTTGATCAAGAGCAGTATGGAGTTCATGAATAGAAAGTAGTTCATTATAGTCTTCCCATTATCTGAATTGAAGTTAAGAGGTTTCCTTTCTTGTTGTTTTGATATTGCTGGAATTTAGGCACATAATTAGAAGAGAAAGAATGTTTAGGAAGAGTTTCACCCAGATTGTTCGCAATATCAGATTTATCAGTAAGTAATTGATCTCCATGCTTAAGATGATGGACGCTAGATTTGGTACCTTTGCCTTTAATTTTCTGCACCATGTTCCATACTTTGGACATGGGTGTTCGAGAATTTATTTTGGACACATAATTTTGCCAAGATTGATGTTTATTCTGTTTAGTGGTACGCCGCCCTTCAGCATTTTAAAATTTAAAATTATGCTCCATAGGGTGGCAACGGAAATAACGTTCTGCTTTTTTCCTTGCCTTACAAGCTTGTTTGCATTTATCGTTGAACCGAGGTTTTCGAATATGTGGAATTGCAGAGGATTTTGGTATACACTCATCAGCCATGATGTTCAGTGCATCAGAAAAACATCTGACAGGATCAGGAACGTCAATAAAAAGTTCAGGTTTAAGTTTTTCAGTGTTTCCACAGTGTTTCATACAAAGCCAAGTCAGCTTTTTAAATTCCGCCTTGATGATGGAGGAACATCAGATGAAGTAACAGGATTTAGTATAGTAGGAAGATGGTCACTTCCACAGAGGTCATCGTGGACTGACCATTCAAATTCATTCAGTAATTCTGAATTTGTGACTGACAGGTCGAGAGCAGGATATGTTCCTGTACCAGGATGTAAATATGTGTTGGAACCATCATTATATATGAACAAATCATTATCGGAGCAGAACTCTTCCAATAGTTTGCCTTTAGCATTAGTAGTTGTTCCACCCCAGAGAGGGTTGTGGCCATTTAAATTCGCCATAATAATACAGGGTTTGGGTAACTGATCATATAAAGTTTGAAGATCAGTCTTCTGAAAGGTTGATGATGGTGAGATATATATAGAACATAATGTAAATGCAACGTGTAATGTAAGTCGCACTGCAACAGCTTGGAGATTAGTAGTAAATAAAACAGGGCTATGGATAACATTATGTTTAACTAGGATTGAAGATCCTCCAGTGGCCCCTTTCGCTCGGAGGCGAAAAACAATGATATGCCTTAAAAAGACGCAGGTCAATAGTATCTGTCTCTTTTAAATAGGTCTCCTGCAGACAGAATGCTGATGGTGTAAAATCCTGGACTAAAATGTGTAATTCATGGAAATTAGCCCTTAAACCCCTACAATTTCACTGTATAATAGGATTATAATAAACTATCTTTTGGGAGGTTTTATTGGGGATCCATATTTGTTGTATAATTTGATTTGATGTTCCGACCCTATTGAGGCTCTGCCACTGAGTTTTTCAGAGAATCTTGTTTCATATATTTGCCTTTAACGAGCTGTGTAGACTTTGATGTCGACTGAGATGATGAGTTGAGATCAGAGAATGTTTCACATTGGCTTTGAGACGTCCTGGGAACTGATTCTGTTGTTTGAGTAGATGTTGCAGGTGAGAATATCTGAGGAGATTCCGTTTTAACCCAGGTCAAGTTTGTCTGACAACTTGCAGATGACTTTGTGACTCCAGTGTTTGCTTCTGATAAAGGTCTGGTTACGGAAGCATAGCTGTCCTTATGTTCTGAGCTTTGGACAATTTTTTGGGCATTTGCAAAAGTGATGTTTTGGGTGAATTTTATCTTATTTATCTCAATTTGATATCTCCAAACAGGACAGTTTTTAGAGTAAGAGGGATGATCCCCTTCACAGTTGGTACATTTTTTGACATTACTGTCACAATCTTCTGTTGTATGTGTCTTTTCGCAACAGGTGGCACATACAACAGACAATGTGCAAGTATTTACACCATGACCGAACTTATGGCATTTGAAGCACCTTAGAGGGTTCGGAATGTACGTGTCAACATTGATGTTACAATATCCTGCCTTTAGAGATTTTGGAGCATTTGGTGATGAAAATGAATACAGATAGGTGTTTTATAACAGCGTCGTTTTTCTTGGTTGTGATACTTTTGACATAGAGAACGCCTTGATATTTCATCTCAGAGACGATGTCAAGTTCCGACATATCTGCAAACAATCTATCACGGTCTCTGATGATTCCCTTGCTCGTGTTTAGTGTTTTATGAGCCGTGACCTTGACCGGAACGCCGACAAACGAATCTGTACTCATAAGGTTGGTGGTTCGTTGCCGTTTTCCACACTCATCCAGCAAAGCACCGGAACGTAGCGTTTAATGTTTTTAACTTCATCGGCAATACCTTGAATGCCCTTAGATATGCCAAAAGGTTCAACTTTAATGGTGTCTTATCAACAGTTTCAATGACAAGAAATCGTAGCCAGTATTCAATGGACGTGGGCAGTGTTTGATCAGTATCAACTGGATCAGTGTCTAATTGACGTTTGGTTTTCTTATTGAGAGTTTCGTAAGCCATGGTTAAGTTTTTAATGATTCGTCATCCGAGCTCCCCACCCACCACGGAGTATCACAAGGACAATACTAAAACAAGCGGATCTCCAGCTTGCAGCACCAGGGATACCCGGATGATATACTTCGGCAGAAAAATAAAAAGATTAATAATTCCACCAGATTGGCCCATGAGCCACCGCCTTCTGGGCATACGACTCTAGGCAAAAACATACATGAAATTGTAAATTTGAAATTTGGAGTTAAAAATTCGCAAAGACTTAAAATATCACGTAATAATTTTCAAAAAAATATGTGCAATAGTACATAGTTGTAGCACACGGCTTGGCGTGACCAGCCGATTGATAGAATCGGGCCAGTTCTACCTCCCGTCTGGGTGAAGTAAGGGGCAAAGTGGTGTGTTGGACAAAAGGAACACGGATCCAGGCTCCCAGTGCCCTCAACCACCAGACTCTCGTCCTCTCAACCGACACAGGTGCGCAACCCACGACAAACGGGTTGGTGGACCAAATATACCCCGGGTCCACAGGGGGTCGAAGAGCTCTTGGTGTTACCCAGCACCCACCACGAGGAGGTGGCTCTTCACGGGTGCCTCGGGATAATGGTTATTATCATACAATGGATAAAGTCACCGGTTATGAAGTTCCAAGCGAGTTTGTTGTTATTTCTCAAGACTTGTAGACAACATACGTACTTTAGCATAAAAGCTTACTGAGAACTAGATGACTTAACGCAGTCAGCTGTGTTATCAGGAGAAAATTATGTCACCGGGCTTGTGACGTAACGTATTACTCCGCACATATTTGTGACGTCATAGACATTCCACGAAGTTTAGTTTCATGATTTGTGGCATTTGAAATCGCATTTTTTTATTTTTTATAGCAAAATGACATTTGCATGATAAATAGGTGATCACGCTCGTGTGTTTTGGGAAGGTTAATTTCCTGCATTAGGAATAATCAGTAAGCCAAGGCTCGCTAGATACAATGTTTATTCCTAATGCAGGATATTAACCATCCGAAAAACACACTCACGTGATAACCTATATTTATTTGCAGCGGCTCGCTCATTTCTGATAACTTGAGGGCGGTTTCATGGTAATTCTATCTATATCAGCTTTAATCAAGGTTACAGCATTCAAGGTCTCAGTAAAGCTTTCAAGACGTGTTCTGGTAGACATGTGGTGGAATTTTCCAAATTCGATGCATCAGTGACAATAATGATGTCCGATTCAAGTCCCTATTTTGACTATATTTTGTGTTCCCAAATTATTTCAGGTGAACATATGACCACATATGTTTATGACGTGTGCCACCGGTGGGGCAGGGTACGCTCACTATTTGATAGTGATTCATAAGCACATGCTCTGTCGTCGTATCACATGGTGACAATCACTGGATTGTCTGGTTCAAACACGATGTGTTTAAAAACAACATCATACATATATATTTCAATGTATTTCATTTGATGTTTTCCAGCTATACCTTGTGTAGCCAAAGCATGTGCAGCCTCCTTGGTCCGGTACTCCATGTCATGTCCCACACGCAGTACTGAAGTAGGACGGGCAACGCCCTCTGTAAAGCAAGAGATGAAAGTTCCAAGTATGGTTCCAGTATCTCTGTCACTCTTGTCCAGATCAGCTCACCGTTGATACCATAGCAACAGTGTAATTTTTTTTATTGTCAAATTTACAGAAAACACATTTTACGAGTTAAAGTATACATTTTCCAGATTCAAACATTTTTTAAAATGAATGGTGGAAGCCCGTATTCTGCTGGTTTCTTTTCTTTTTTATCTCGCGTTACATGCACAACATGTGAATTCTTTTTATTAATATGGGAAAGAAAGGAGAGACAAGGAAAGAGAGAAAAGGAAAGATGAAAGAGTGCAGCATCCGGCCTAGAAAATACTCACTATGTCAATTTGTTGGTTTAATCAATTTGAAAGAGACATAACCATTTTTGGGTCGAAATTTAATTCCGCTGAGGTATATCTTGTTTTATTGATATATTGCTTGATAATGATAAAAATGTGGTTCACTAATACACTTGCCTCAGGGTCCCCCAGTAAAAACTTTGTACTATCAATATTGAGGCGAGTGCCAGTCTTCAAATTGTACCAGTTTGCAAACTGAGAGATAAGATGCTTAGTATTCTCACATATAAAGAATAAGTGCTCGAGTGTTTCTATTTCTCTGCCACATAAAGTACAATTTTCATCCTGATTAATACCTATTTTACAAAGAAATGACTTCGTAAAGATTATTCTGTGCATTATATTACATTGAAAATTCCTAGCTTTATTCTCTATGGCAACAGCTTTAATCATTGTAAAACAGTCAGCAAGATCAGTAACGGCTAAAACACTATCGAGCTTAGATTCCCACTTGAGTTAAGATTATCCAATGATATTATGGGATTTTCACATAATTGTGAATAAACAAATTTACATTCAGCTGAGTTACATATTTGTTTAAGAATAGTAGAGTCAGCATCGGCTAATTCATCATAATGAGGTGTTGCCTTAGCAAGATTAAGGTATTGTTTAAATATGTACTTCAAGAATCTGAAATATAGGAGATATGTTTCATGAAGATTAAATTCTTCTCTATTATTAGAAAAGGTTTCATTTCACCAGCGTCTTCTATAATATCTCGCATATTTTTCATTCCTGTTTTAAAACATGAAACAAACAGACCTTTATCATATATAAATTCATAATTGGTAGACATATAAAGTTACTAATGCATTCAGCATGTGTTTCATTGGTACAAGTGTAACAATAACTTTCCTAACTAATTTTTAATATTTTTGGAGTAGGATAAAAGTTTTTCTCCTTGAAAGTTAAAAGATCAATGTCCCCCAAAAGGCGACAGTGTTTGAAATACTAAGTGCTGCCATAATCCCTTTGCTTTGAATAGTCTGCTGATGCATTTAATCTTCATATACTTATAGATATGATATCTATCATTTTCAAAACCCCATTTCATAGTCATTTATTAACATATTTCTTTTAATTTTATCACGTTTGCCGCCCCAGATAAACCTGAAAAGGATAGTATTCAAACGTTTAAAGGAGGGCTTAGATGGGTTGGGAAGCACCATGAACAGGTATGTAAAAGGGGATAATCTGCTATTTGATAATCATAATTCTGCCTCTCAAACTTAAAGATCTGTTTGACCATGAAAATAATATTTTTCTGATTTTTGAAAATTGTTCAAAGTTTAGTGAAATCATTTCACGTTAGTTAGTTGAAAAAGTAATACCCAGAATTTTGAATGGTTCTTTTGACCAACGAAGAGGTATATGCGGACAGAGTTGATCATTAGAATTTCGCTTGTAACCAAACCATATTGCTATGGTTTTATCACAGATGAGGTTTAAACCAGACACGGTAGCAAATTTTTAATAACATAGATCCTTCAAGTGTAAAATTGGTATCATGAAAATGAGGTATTCCATACCCTTTCTCTTAACTCCTTTTATGTTCTTATTTGTTCTAATTGCAATAGCTAGTAATTCGACACAAGCAACAAAGATGTACGGGGCGAACGGGTCACCTTGACGACAACCACCCCTAAAGTGACACACTCTGATAATGTACCAGAATTGGAAATAGATCTACAGCTTTTCCTTTGAAAAAGTTTAACCCAATTTCTAAGTACAGGGCCAAAGTTAAAGGCTTCCAACGTTTTGTCAATGAAGTCCCACTCAACTGTATCGAATGCTTTCTCAAAATCAGTTGCAACTAAAAGACCTGGTACTTCACGTTCTTCACAATAATGCATTAGATCATACAGTATGGTAGTAATTTCCTCAATAAATCTTTTTTTTTAAAATAAACAAACCTGTTTGCGTTTCACTTATTATACCAGGAAAGACTTCTTTAAGACGTGAAGCAATTGCAGCGGGTGTAACTTTATAGTCTACGTTTAAAAGTGAGTGAGTCAGTAAGTGAGTTGGGTTTTACGTCGCTTTTAGCAATATTCCAGCAATATCACGACGGGGACACCAGAAATGGGCTTCACACATTGTGTCCATGTTGGGAATCGAACCCGGGTCTTCGACGTGACGAGCCAACGCTTTAACCATTAGGCTACCCCACCGCCCCTCTACGTTTAAAAGACTAATTGGTCGCTAGTTTTTCAAGTAGCGTCTATCGCGTGAGTCTCTAGGTATACATGTGATTATACCTTGCCTTTGGAAATCCGACAAAATTCACGTTTTGTATGAATATGTAATAGATCGCCACAGAATTACACCTATGTCTTTCAAGAAAACTTTATGAAATTGTGCACTAAAACCGTCGGAACCAGTACTTTTCTGTTCTTCATATTTTTAAATGCTCGTGCACATTCATCAAGCGTGAGTTCAGTTTCACAAAGTTCGCGATTATCATTTGTAAGTTAAACATCGATATCTATGTCATTTTGCCAGTAACTTGCACGTTTACTTGTGTACAAATTATTATAAAATTGGAAGATTCTCTTAATATGTCTTCCTTTTTGTCAAAACTGCGCTTGGCGTTAAAAGTTCACCCATAGTTTTATTGATATAATTTCTCTTTTCCAAATTCATAAAGTATTCCGTATTTTTTCTCCCTCTTCTTCGTACCATCTTGCTTTACTCCGAAATATATAAGCCCTTTTACTTTAGCAGTTCTAATATTTTCAAGTTTTTCCTTTTTGAAGCATAAATCTATATTTTCATCACTACTTAATATTGAAAATCTGGCTTCCATTTCATATATTTCACGTTTCAGCGTTACCCTACAGTTTTATTTCTTATATTCATTTTAAGTATATCAAATAATAATTGATCATTCACTGATAATTCGATACTTTCTAAGTTCTCCAAGTCTCCAGAGACATAGTATTCAAATACAGTGTCGCATATAGTTTATTTAACAAGATGGACATAGTCACGGACATAGAGTAGGGACGAATTGAATTTCCAGTAACCCGGTCCACGCTGTGGGGGACTCGGCGCAAGCTCAAGTGAAACGATAGAATGATCGGACCTGTAACTCACATCTATGGACGCGCGCTTGACAAGAGACATTACTTCTTCAGAGACAAGGAAACAGTCCAGTCTGCTTTGTTTAATGTCGTTGCCTTGTCGCCATGTATATTGTTGTTTATCTGGGTTAAACATTCTCCACGGATCAACCAACCCTAGCTTAGTTTTTATTTCATTTTCTCAAATGCCCCAGTATTATTTCTGTGCTTTATATTATAGGTATCTAAGTAATAATCTTGAACTAATAGCCCCGGGTAATTGTTCTCATTCCGAGAAGAGGTCTTGGAAGAAATCTGGCGAATCTTTATTTGGTCCGTATATATTTGTTACCGAAAATCGAATATTTTCTATTGTAATGTCAAGTATAACAAAGCGACCATTGTCATCTGAAATTGTTTTATGAACTTCATATTCAAAAATTATCTTTAATCAAAATTAATGTTCCCGCACTGTTACTTGTTCTATGTGAGAAAAAACGTCTACAACCCCATTCAGCTGCCCATGGGCGTTCTTTTTCTAAAGTACTATGTGTGTCTCTTGAAGAAATATAATAGAAGATATTCTCTTTCTTAGGACACTGAAAATTTCAGAGTATATATACTCGGTACGAGTGATTACGCAAATATGCCCTGAATTGAAATAATGTTTCACAGTGCCTCGCCAAGACTCGGCACTGTTAACATTATTTTAACGATGACATATTTCTCGTAATTACTCGTACCTCGTTGGTTATTCTATTTTATTACCCATACTGTAATTTTTTAAAAACACCACGAAATAAAAACAACCCGTAGACGGGATTTGTGACCTCAAACAGCTGATTCGCATTCTTGTGCATATTAAACCTAACTTCTCGAAAGAAGCAATAATATACCAATTTGTGTTTGAATCTGAAATTCAACATGAAAAACCTGAGAATTTATCTATGTAATGCACATAATAGCTTGCGTTCATTAGCTTCCGTCATGCTCACACCTCTGGTATCCCAGCTGGCTACAACGTGTGGAACCTATTTCCCTGGTTTGTCAGCCGTTGTTTATCCTGAACAGTGTTAAATGTCACGGTTACCTAACCTCCCACAACCGCTTACCTGTCTCTTTTGGTCGTCCAAATGTGAATAATCTCTTCAAAGCACCTTTCATCTTGTCACCGCGGTTTACGTCAGGCTTCTGACTTCTCCGGATAATTGAACTCTTATTCGAGGATGCCAGACTGCTTCTCGCAGTGCCAAACCCACTGTCCGCAGTAGAAACAGACATCCGGTCAAATAAGGACTCCAGGTCCTCTATTCTCTGTGGGTGCAAACAGAGCAAAATAAGGAGTTAATATATACGTTGTAGCAGTATCACGAGTGATGAACGATCTGATGTACCCTCTGTGTTGCCGTGTAGTTTGATCAGTTAGGGGAGGTGTACATGCAACACAGAGGGTACATCAGACCGTTTACCCCAAGTGATGAGGCTTCAAAGAATTCATCTCACCGTCATGGCTACCGCTTGTTTTATCTTACCGTGGTCACTGAGCTGTCTGTGAAAACACTGCTGTGCAAGGAATGTCAGGCAGTTCCAATTCAAGATATTGATGTAATTCTCTCACAATACTAACTCGAGGAAACGAAGCCAATATTAAGATGAAGCATTAACCATAATTGTTTGCAATATTAAAATGCAAAAGAAATTACGTCTCACAAAACGTTTGCACCTTAACGGCTGTTAGAGCAAAGGAATCTGAAACTCATGTGACGGAGAAAATAATTTTCTAACAATGACACTGACATTCTGAATTTTGCAATTTTCAAAGGTGGGATTTTCTTTTGTCGTTCTTAGAGCGCATTGATTGTTTAGGAGCGAAATCTCGCAGAATATGACATCGTGGTAAAGTTCTGCAAGCGCGTTGCTTCTCTCTTGGTGTGTTTCGACAGAAGTCTCCCCGGCGTTGATCACTATTTGACTGATTTCTGTGCGTTAGACGTGGTGGTGGTGTTAAACATGGACAGAAGAAGGATGCATTGCATGGGATATAGGATGGCTAATTTGCAGGCGTTCCTTGTTGAATACCTGCTGATACCCTTTGGGAACGATGACGCACCTCATGATTTTGGCACTCGATAAGTTATCGGGTCGTGGCACCAGTAGTATGGATATAGTAATTTGTGTAAAAGTGGACCGAACCGAACAAATGAAGTTAATGTAGTCTGTCTGTTTTCCTGACTGGCTTGCTACAATACCAGGTAGAATCCTGTCACACAAATCGTCTCAGAAACCATCTTATAGATTCAGCTTAGGTATGTCAATGGAGAGAAATCTCACCAGAAAACATGCTGAAGTATCACAAATCTCAGTAGAACCAGAATGATGCCCGTTATTATTCTTTCGTCAGACAGTTTTATATATAAATTTCTTTACCGTGTGGTATCTTGCAAGACGAAAGATGGATCAAATGAAGATTGTTCGATCAATATATTGTTTTCTTGATAATATCATCAGATTTACATGTATTTACGTCCTATGTTGTTTAACAATACCGTGGTTTGGTGGATACAGCATCTGGCTGGAGAATGTAACCTTGGTGGTCTGGTTTCTAGGCCGCAATACGTTAGAGGATGCTGTAAGCCTTCTGTACAAGCAGCCTAACACACCATCCATGAACGTCGCTATATCATTGGCATAAACCCAAAGCAACATGAGGTGAGGTGAAATGGGGTTTAACGTCGTACTTGAGAATATTTCGCTCATATGACGACGTGCATGCGTGTGTATGTTTATGTGCGGCTGCTTGTACTAGCCCAGACTGAAGCTGGTTTTATAGTACTAGTCCACTGAGATACCATGAGGCAGTGAAGCATGAATATCCCACTCAGACAAATTATACTGACTCCGAGCCGACCAGTCCTCGATGAACCCATTAGTGCCGAGCGCCAGGCAGGGACCAACAAGTACCATATTTTAACGTCTTTTGGTATGACGCGGTCGGGGTACGAACCCGCGACCTTCCGCTCTTCGGGCGGACGCTCTAACCACTACACCACGGAGGCGGTGCCCTAAACAACATTAAACTGTATTTAAGTACATTAAACCTCAACAATATAAAACTGATCAAAAGTCACCTTCCTCAGTCGGATATTTTCTTCCTCAATACTGACGATGTTACCTGAGAAATAAAACAGTAATATTATAAAGATGTATGACCTGAATAAATTGCACGCGGTGCACGTTCAAACAGACGTAAAAAAAGAGTAATAATTAATGCAGTTGGTATAAGCAATCACCAAACAGTACAATGTCTCATTGAGAAAAAATAGAGAGAGGAAGAGACTAAGTTACTCGAATGTTTGGCAAATCAAAACTGTAATTTCTCGACAGCGAGACAAGTACTTTCAAATGGTTGGGGTTACAAAGAGATTAGGATGGAAGGCCTGATCACAAGACACCTGGACCAGTTTGTAACTGCGCTATGTTTTATGTTCACATTTTCACCCGTTATCAATGAATAAATCCGACCAATAACAGTAAGGTATTTTTACATTGGCCGTTACAACCGACTCGATGCAGCAATGACGTCACACGTTGTTTTTCACATCAAAGTTTTGTCATTGGCCATTCTTGGGCATGATGGTATCACACATGACACCCGAACTGATTTGGTTATTGGGAATGGAAACTATCCCTTTCGTTATGAAAATCTTCATAAATTTTGAATTGCAAGATGACAATACCAGAGACCATCATGGACAGTTCGACAAGAAAGCACACAGACATTGACAGTACGGCAGAGATTCAGCTGTTGGACCAGCTTCAGGAAGATCTGCAGCCGGAATCCAGGTGTGGTGTATATTTTGCTTAAACATGGTGGACATACCAAATACTGTTAGACACTCACAAAATTAACATTTATTTCCCTAATTTGTTGTTAGTAATATATATGTTTTAGTTGTTCCATTCACAAACGACCGTTAGAATACTTGTATACACTGTTATTTTTAATCGTTAAATTGTAGAGTTTTTAACATTTTCCACGGACATCTAAGAAACTAATGTACCTTCCCATTCAGTATAATATCTATCTGTCTTGTATAGCTGGAATATTGATGAGTGCGGCGTAAAACTAAACTCACTCACTCTGTCTTTTCAATATCTCATAGAGTATTCTTCATGTAGCTGGGTAATCACCAATTACTGTCAATGTGCTCAACTTAGACAATCATCAGTCAGGGCAATGTCAAACTGAGCAATGAAATAATATTCAAGACTTCACTGTTATCTGCACTGTATTAATGATGGTTACAGTCAGAAAGTATAACATATAAGAACTACTATGACCACATGGACATGCGGCCATTATTAACATAAAAGCCGTGTGCTTGGTTAAAGGAAAACGAAAAGTCAATTCATCATAGAAGTACTGTACATCTTTCAAAGGTCGGCATCATAACTTTTTAGCCCCCGGGTTAACTTCCATACCTACTATCATCTAATCCACCCTCACACTTTTGTCCCCACCTTATGTACCCAACAGATCAGCACTCTGTATCTACTGCAGCAAATACACGTATTGACATGACAAGCTTGATGTCAAGCTTCCAGCTTACCTGGCTCTTGTTCAGCCAATTTGTGTGTAGCCCCTGAGGTTGATTGTTCCCCTTCATTTCCAACATGTCGTACAGGAGTTGGGCAAGCAACGTCATCTGCAATGCAACAGTTAAATAGAACTCCGTGTAGTCCCAGTGTCCCTTTGTATCCCCATAACATTCTTTATCTTACATTCATGTAAAATGCTTTTAATTTTATTGGTCAATGACACATTAACAAGTTTCGGTGTCAGCCCTCCCAGGAGAGTGACAACTGGAAAAATTATATTACCGGCTGCCATAGTAACCGTCAAAATCTCCGCCCAGAAGTTGTATCGCTAACAATCGTATGGCGTCATAATATGACGCATGCGTGCCGGAGTTCGAAAACCATTCGATTAGCTTTTTGAGTTCACTATGTAGACATTTATTTTACCGACTTTCACTGCTTTATTGAAACTATTTTATACATTGAATCGTTTGCACGCTCAATTTTAAAAACAATTAACCATTTTATAGCAGTTTTAAGATTGTCATAATATAATTTCACTGATTTTAAAAATCGAGTCGAAAGACAGACGCCATTTTGTTTACGCGTCATATAGTAAGTAGCGATCTTCAAAATAAATAAAATGTTAATTTTGTACTTTTGTATGTTTCTCCCATGGGTAATAGGGTCTGATGTATGCCTCTTTGTAACAGTGTTATCCCTCGCCTCGATCTCGGGTAACACTGTTACAAAGAGGCGTACATCAGACTTTATCTTACCTCACACATAAATGTCGCTTTCTGATTAGCTAAGCTTCTATTATTTTCAATGTACCCGGCTTACAAGCGAGGGTACATTGTAATGTACTCCACTGTCAATGGCAACCCATTTGGTACTTCATGGCAGTAATTCTTTATCTCGAATAACATTGAATCGCGTATGATGTGTGCTGAAATTACCGATGTTTTGCGAATGCAAATCGATGGAAGGGAGATAACTCTAAGTCTATTTTTCTTGTCAGCAAAATCTAGCGATGGCTACTAAAGGATTTATACCCGTACTTCAAACAATTCAAAATTAACAATAAGGTGTTCGGTAAGATAAATACATTGTTCACTGGTCCCTCGGGGTCCATGGGTTGATGTACCCTCGATGTTTGTTTATGTTCATAACAGAAACAAACATCGCGGGTACTATCAACCCATGCCTCGTGACCACTGGACAACTTATAGTATTACCCTCAGTGAAGAATACAACTTATAATGATTGCAAGGACCTGTATGGTGCAACAGTGTCACTTTAACACAATGTTCCAGTCCCCTATCCTCTCTTTCATATCTTAGTTTTCTAATTAGTTCCATCCTTACGTTTCCTTCGCACCTTCACCCGCACACTTCTCACCAGATGTATGCAAAATTGATAGTTAATGTCTTCTTGTAAGTTCAATGTTAACATTCAACTCTCTATTCACAGAGAAAGAAACGACTAGTCCACTAGTAACCTAAGGGCGTATGACATATACGGTAAAACCATTTTGTATATGCACAAACATAATGAATGATAGGGATTCGTACCTCTGAATGTCAGAGTTTTAGATGCATGCTGGCCTTTCAGTCAGAGGAACTAAACTATATGTAGCTAACTATATGTCGCTTCGTGACAGAAACAATAACGGAGTATGTCAATATATAGGACTGGCTGTAACACAATTTATAGACAGATTGTTCATAATGGACTGAAAAATCCATATGAGTTGCTACAGGATATTGAAATGCAAACTGTAACCGATCATTTGGTTGCACTTGGATTCCGGATACTCTTCCCGTACCCGTGTGTGCGTACCAACCCGCGAAGATAGTCCAGTGTGGGGGTCTGTCTGTAAGCACCATGCAACGGTCTGGACATTTCGATAGATTCTCCCACTGCTTTGCCGGTGGTGATACGACGAATATGTTTTCTCTCGGGAATAGCACCAGTGCTTCGTCTACCAAATCGTCGGCCATTGCAGCCTTGGTCCTGTGCACGTACAAAGAGACCACTATGCGAGTACAACCTCTAGCCTGGACGTCCCGATGGAGAGAAAGGTTTTCCGCAGGTGTTCGTTGGAACAATCCGGCGTAGTAGCCACCCGATGTGCTCTTGCACTTCAAAATTGGAAACCACTTTGTTGTAGATTTTCGTTCGCGTATTGGTATAGCCATTCCAGGTTCCAATCCAAGTACAGATCTGGTTGACCAAACTACCCGTATTGTCTAGAATGGTGGGTCCTTCACAGTCCATGGCGGTTGTGAGGTCTCGGTGTCTGTTTTGGAGGTTTTCCACGAGAATCTTGTATTCGCTCCATGGGTATTTCCGAGACATTTTACTACGATTATTCTGAATCTCTTGTCGTCCACATGTAGGGATTTCCATTGCGTCTTCGCTGCAGAATGGGTTTCTTTCTCGATTCTTTGTACAGTGCTCTGTGTTTGCAGAGTGGGCATCCATGGCATATTGCAGCGTATGCACAATTTTATTTTGCACGTAGCCCTCCTCTTGCTCGAAATATTCGTGTACGGCACTTTCGCTAAGTTGAAAACAACAATGCATGCCATTCCTTTTTCTCCAATGGTGCAATACACGGCTCGTTTTCTATAGATGCAGTCTTTCTGTCGAAGATAGATACGTAGATATTGTCCACGAATGTAGGTAGACCTTCCAGAGGTTGGAGATTTGTTTTGCCAAGATTGCTCGTGTAGACTATCTGGATGGCAATGTCCAGTAGAAGATTGCTTCCCATGGTATTTTCCAATAGGAGGAGGTATGCCGCCGCTATTTTGGCTCGCAAGCCCATATTGCTGTTTGGTTCCATAGTATTTTGGTTGCCGAAACTCACTGGTGCCCTACAGATCTTAAGGCTCCTGTAAACTACCCCATGCTCATTAAAAGTGAATATTTCCAAAACTATTCAACCGACTTTTTGTGGAAATTTTGCATGGACGGCGAATGATAGTTTGCCTTTATCTACACGTATTTTTACCCCCGTTAGAGGCCGGGGTTTGCCAAAATATCGCTTATCAGGGACCTGAGCCCTGTCTCTTCTTCAGCCTCGTCCTCTTTGTTGATGTTGTTTTTCTGACATGGTTTTCTTGACTATGACTTGTCTCGTTCGGCAAAATGTCTCAGGAGGAATCTGAAGACATTAATGTATTTCTTCACGGTACACACGTCGGTATGTGCGCAGAAGACGGTGGTACGTGTATTTTAGATCTACTCTTACAGTACACACAGGTAAATAAACCCTGATCATCTTCACCGTTGGCGTCCACAGGTAGCAGGCCGAGGCACTGTGGAGGAGCTCTCAGTCCAACGTCTCAACTGAAGTCATGCACATACGCAACAGCCCCAAAACCATGTTGACACGACCCTGTCTGCTCTTGTGGTATTTAAGTACCTTCAACACATGCTATACCTTTTCTCAGCTTTGGAGTAGATGGCTGGAGAAAGTAGGTCGGACTGTCGGTATTTTTGAAACACGGCTGCATTCAGCGTGTTATGTACAATTCAGGGTGATGTGACAACCTCGTCATTGCGCGCATCATCATATCAACTGTACTTTGTTTCTTGAAAGGTTTCGTAAATTCCTCTGGCAACACTGTTAACAACACAAGTGCACACAGCTTAAAAGGAAAATCAGAAGCTTAGGACGCTATCTGAAATATGGCAAATTACCAAGCACATATTTCACACATTTGTGATAGAGAGAGCATACCATGGGGCCTTGATACACTTGAGTTTTCATGAACAGCTGGGCTTCATAAATACATGCTAGTATTATAAGCATTCTTTCAGATATTGAAGAGCAATATGGAAGAAGGCATTCTGAACTGTAAATGATTCACTATTACACAAACATCTCCTTCATACACTGCAGCTTTATTCACGTGATGAGTCACTCAGGACGTGTTAGACGTGTTAAAACATGTCCCAAGACATAGGGTACGAGTGTGATCAAGTAGTCTACAGGTGAATGCGATGTCGGCATGGCTACAATTCCTGAACCTTTGCTGACCTATGACATCATGCAGTCATTTGCATATTCATGAGTTTTCATGCATATTGTCTTGCCTTATAATGACATAGCTACGAACCTCACTGACCTTTTACGTCATGCAATCATTTGCATATTCATGAGTTTTCTTGCCTTATTGTGATCAGGCGGTTGGATAGTATAGTGGCTAAAGCATTAGCTCGTCACGCCGAAGACCGGGTTCGTGTCCCCACATGGGCACATTCTGGTGTAACCTGCCGTGATATTGCTGGAATATTGCTAAAAGCGGCGTGAAATTAAATTCACTCACTCACTCAATTATTACGATCACATGACTTGGATGAGCCAGTCAGCATCTGATCCCCAAAGTTGTGTCTGAGCACCCTCACTATACTACCTACCATATAATATATAAGCATAAATATAAACATGTACAAGAAAGTCAAAATTAGAGCGTTGTTATAGATGCCTCTCTTTCAAAATCATTGAAAAGATTTTCACATGCCCATCGTATGATGCGTGAAAACAGGCATATAATCACAATGTATTCCTGTAAATATGTCCATCACTGCTCCTATTTTTCATTACGATGTGTTTAATTATTTTCCCATGTGTATGTAATAACACCTTGATCTTTGAAGTCCTGTTACATTTACCAGTGCATGTATTTATAGATCGAAACTACAGATGATAACATTTTCTCTGATACATACATTCAGGCATTTCTAATTTTTCACACCAATAAATATGCCATCGTTTAAACAAACAACATTATACATTTTTTTTTTAAAAGGTTCCATCTTTAGAGCAAATATCGTGAATAGCGGATGCATGCAAACCCTTTTTGCAAAACCACTGTTATTACTGATTTTAATGATCCATCCATATGATTTTCACAAACAGTTTTCCCTTTAGACCAAATGGAATTTGTTTCTGGGGATAGTCAAGATTCAATATAATTTTGTTCTGACTGTCTACAGTATTAACTGATGGATAGATCAAAAGAATAACAGGGGCATATGGCTGATTGATTTTCTGATTACAGATTCAATTTTCTTGTAAATATCAATACCCCAAATCGCAGAAACATGTAAAAGAATAGGCAGAACTTTAGTAATGAATATCCTGAAAAATACATTATAGATATGGAATAGGCTTCAGACTTACAAGAGTTTTAAAACAGTGAACAGTGCAAGTTTAGCCTGTGCAGCAGCATTAGTAATATGACTTTTCCATGACAGGTTACTTGAAACAACAACATCAAATACCTGTTCAATGGAGCACGCATTAGCCATTTATCTCAATAATACTACTTTTTCAAACCTAGAAAGAATACCGCCGCCTTTAAATAAACACATTTACAGTTAAGCCATAGATATTAGAACACTCTGTCAAGACACTGATTCCCTTCTGGGCTCAGAACTAATGTCGGACCCCTGACATTACATAAAACATCTCTGAACAGTGATTGTCAAATTTAACTCTATCATAAATAGCTTGAATGGAATTATATAGTTTTCGGTGTAACACCATTATGACTTAAATTGAGTTAATGAGTTTTAGTCATATTGGAAGTATTTCAGCAATATCGTGACTAAAACAAGTAAAATATTCATGATACATAAAATTCGAATATTGAAAACTGCATCAGAAATAATGCAAAAGATGACATTAAACTGATACATTGTGATGCAACTGTAAAGCCTTCGTTCTCTCAATCGGACTATTTTATTTGTCCGGTCAAGTAGTAATTGACATGCTCTTCATGGGGAGGGCAGTTTTCCTGGAAGGCAGTGTAAGAATTAATACGGTCAGGTCGCACTAAGAAACATTTATGCATTTGCTTATATTCAAACTTAGAGAATTACACAGTAGCTATTCCTACCTGTATCGACGGCTTCTCCAACCATAACGAATGTCATCACATTCTCGTCAGACTGGTACGGACTGGACCCAACTGAGGTGTCACTGCTGTTGTCGGACATGTTGCTGCACTCTGGAGTCAGTACCGTTGCTCATGGTGGTGCTGCTAGTGGTGCTGCTGCTTGAGTAGAGCTGGTGGTGCTACTTGAGTACAGCTGGTGGTGCTACTTGAGTACAGCTGGTGGTGCTGAAGTACAGCTAGTGGTGCTGTTTGAGGACAGCTGGTGGTGCTACTTGGGTACAGCTGGTGGTGCTGCTTGAGTACAGCTGTTGGTGCTACTTGGGGTACAGCTGGTGGTGCTGCTTGAGTACAGCTGTTGGTGCTACTTGGGTACAGCTGGTGGTGCTGCTGAAGAGTACAGCTGGTGGTGCTGAAGTACAGGTGGTGGTGCTGCTTGAGTACAGCTGTTGGTGCTGCTTGAGTACAGCTGGTGGTGCTTCTTGAGAACAGCTGGTGGTGCTGCTTGAGTACAGCTGGTGGTTCTGCTTGAGTACAGCTGGTGGTGCTTCTTGAGAACAGCTGGTGGTGCTGCGAGTACAGGTGGTGGTGCTGCTTGAGTACAGCTGGTGGTGCTGAAGTACAGCTGGTGGTGCTACTTGAGTACAGCTGGTGGTGCTGCTTGAGTACAGCTGGTGGCTGTGCTTGAGTACAGCTGGTGGTGCTTCTTGAGAACAGCTGGTGGTGCTGCTTGAGTACAGCTGGTGGTGCAACTTGAGTACAGATGGTGGTGCTTCTTGAGTAGAGCTGTTGGTGCTGAAGTACAGCTGTGGTGTTGAAGTACAGCTGGTTGTGCCGCTTCAGTATGCTACCAAAATGTTATAAAATATAGATTTCACGATGCCATAGTGAAGATACGAGGAGGGAAGGGTTGATTGTATCCTGCCCCAACGGCCACAGGAAAGTTAGAACGTTGAAGGCGTCCCTCTTGTCACACAGTGTGTCAGATAATTTGTCGTCACCGTGAACCTTCATGCGTTGACTGAAACATGAAACACGAGGCTGCTCCGGAAGTCTTGTTCAGAATCAGTGGAAGGGAACTGGCTGGCTGCCTGTTACTAAAGTGTAAGAGCTGTTGCATTCAATGTCAGAATGTCAGAGAATTTCTGAAGCCACTCACTATTGCTCATTCTACGAACAGTTTGGTCTTTTCATCGAGTATGTATGATCTGGGTCCTTGCTTATCGTAGAAAACAACTCCATCGCAATATCGAATGGCTACTTCCAAAACATAAAGCTCAGATCGTTGGATAGGGTGGAATGCTATGTTTATCAGATCTCTAGGAGCGTCTGTGAACTTTCTCTTCCTTGTCAGAACACACAGATCAGATCTGTCGCAACCTTCCTGTATATACTCTCTATCAAGGATGTCTGACTCACGTGTAGTTTGAAACCAACAACTTCTGCAACCTTTGTTTGATAACCTCTCTGTGTCTTAATATTCTTTTCGTTAACTCCCAGGTAGTATGACCCGCCTTGAACCAGCTTTGACATAGAAGTTATGTTATCTTTCAGTTTAAGATTGTGCCAGATATGATCAGTCAGCTTTCCAGCGTTGGTTTGTTTTCGCTTGATCTCTTCAGTGTTGTCTTTAAACGCTTTCAACTGTATATGCCGATCCTCATGAAAAGTGTTCACATTTTGGGGTAGATTCCTGAGAGACGCTTGCTTCTTTTCCTTTGTTTCAGCTTTTGCCCAATACTTGAGAGAACAAAATGAATTTATATCCAGGTTCTCATTGTCATTGTTTGCCTTCGTGTTGAAATCAACTGTAGCTAAACTTGCTGTTTTGTTAACTTGTACTACAAAGAAAGTCCGCGCGTCCGTGAATTTCGGTCGATCACTAAGAAAATATCGTGTATATGAGTCCGTATACAGTTCGCCACCTTCCAGTAAGTTTTGTGAGAGTCTTCACTACAAATTCATCAAAGTACTCGAGACACCTATCTTCTGGTGATGTCCCCTCCAAATGAACTAACAGCACTCCCCACCACTGTTACGTAACGCTGACACTGCTTTTGCTACTTTATCCAAGACTGATGACTTCTCTTTGCTTTTCTTTCCCCTGATGATGTTGTATTCTACGTGTAGTTGTATTGCTGGATGCCGCGGACCTTTCTTGTGTTCTTCCCTGTATCTGTTTCTTAATGCCTCACACGCTGAGCATTTATCTGCAACAGAACATTGACAAGATTCGAGCCGTTTTGATATGTAAGTTCTGTAATCTATGAGCATCAACCAAATACAGGTTTGGGGCATTTAGAAAAAGAATTTAAGCAAAAAGAATACAATGTTGCCTGAAGAATGTTATCCATCAGTAAGTGAGTTACAGTATACACCATACGAGAGGCAACAGAAAAAAACAGCCAAAGCTAAAACAGTTCATAGCATCTGCATCTATAGAGGTTCTTACCTGGCAAGTATTTTGTGTCACTCTGAATGTTGTACAGGCCATCTGTGAACAAGCAAGAGATGTATCTTAAACATCGCCATTACGACTGAGCTCTTAAGTTGTGTCTCAGTTGTCAGAGAGTGAGTGAGTCACTGGATTTGATAAAGTCTGATATTTCAAAAATTATACACACAAACAGTTAAAAAGATCGAGAAGATTGGTAAAATCGTAAGATCGGTCCCTATCAAGGGGAAAACGGAATTGAAATTAGAAGCATCCATTAATTATTGTTGATTCCAAGTAGTGAGTGAGTTAAAATTTAACGTCACATTGTCAATATTTGCAGCCATATCGTGACGAGAACATATTCTATCTATATTCAAATCAATAAATGTATAACGTAACAACCTGTCATCGAGGGACAGTAAAACTACTAGAATATCACAGCTCTTAATTTAAAACTAGTACGCTACCATAAAAAATATATCACCGGACACAACAGTACAATATAAGAACGGGCTATAGATCACCAGCAACTGAAGGTAGATCACCATACTAAGGACCATGGGGACTTACATTACCTTTGCTACCTACATGGACCCTAGTTGGATTTACATCATCCCTTCAGCCGCTGGCGATTTTAGTCAAATTTAGCCATAATTAAAATCACAAACATTCCACGCTTAAAATCCTGGTAAGGTTGATTCCAAGTAACAATACACTGGGGCATCAGTCTGATGGACAGGAAGAACCCATATTTGGTTGTGCTTGTTTACGAACAAGCACCCTCAAAGGGGTTAAGGTACTTTAAAATTATTGTCCTCCAGAGAGGGTACGTACGTCCCAAAACGTTCAAAGTAAAACGTAAATTTACCACATTTTAATCGTAGTATTTTTGTTTTTTTAACTAACGGCTTAATTTTCCTACAATCGCTAGTGGCTGAAGGGATGGTGTAAATCCAACTAGGGTTCATGCAGGTAGCAAAAGTAATGTAAGTCCCCATGGTCCCTAGTATGGTGTTCTACCTTCAGTTGTTGGCGATCTATAGCCCGTATTTTATACTGTATTGTCTTCTTTAATTGTAATGTTTTAGCTTTGCTCGCTAGTTTTATCTTCATGTTTGTGATTCTCTAGTATTTTTACTGTCCATTGTCGACAGGTTTTAATCTTAAAAAATGTTTTCACTTTATACTGTATAAATTATTTCCGTCACAATATGGCTGAGATATTGCCGAGGTGACGTTAAATATTTTCTCACTCACTACCAACAAGCAAGGAGGAAAACCAAAAGAATATGTGAATACATTTCTATGTTTCTCTTTCTAAATACTCACCATGATCGGCACCATTCATTCTTGTGCATGGTATTGTTTTACCTCACCCCGTCCTGAAATAAAGAACTGAAATATTCACATGCATACGTTTTACTGGATACAGTTATCGTCAACTTGATCAACATGATCTGAAAACTATGCCAATTGTAACAAAACAATAAATTCTTCAGGGGTGGAATGCAAAACAAGAAACATTCATTAAGGGTTTAACCGGCCGTTATGAGTAAACCGGCGGTTATGAGTTAACCGGCGGTTAAGATAACCGAGTATTAAACAGCCGGGCCCAGCTGTGTTCTGGGAGGAGGAAACATAGACGCCATAGTGGTGGCACTACAGTTTCTATCAGAAACGTTTAATAGATTATAATATTCTTGTTCATGTCTATGAAGAATTTCACACCGGTATAGTTCCGCACCTCAGAACCTTCCTTGTTGCATTATTTCATCATATACATTTTGTTCGTTGTTACCTGTCACGTGAATGCTCTCCAGACACTCTATGACAAAACAAATGCAGATGGATTTACTATTGTTGGATTGTTTGAAATAATGATGTGCAACTCTCCAGAATATTTATATATATCTGGAAACTTTAAAGCAAGAATGAAAACAAAAAAATAAATCAGGTTATTATAGACCGTCTTAGATGTCTCCTACACTTATTTAGCATTTTAAATATACACATTATGGGTGGCAGATGTGGTAAAGATTTTAAACTAGGTGGTTTTACATTTATAGGTACAAATGGCACAAGCGTCATAGATTATATCTTAGCTTCTGCACATCTATTTGACAAAGTGCTAGATTTTGCTATACCTACTAAAGCAGAGTCTTCTCACCTCCCGTTAACCCTAGATTTACGTGCGCATCACCCACTAGTACACCCAAAGATTATGAGTGCCGAATCTAAATCTGATCATGAAGCATACACATTAGTGTGGAATAGCAAGATGCTGCCGCAATTCAGAAATAATTTACTATCGGATGATATACAAGACTTATTTGATAAATCTGTTGATGTAGCATTCACTGGTATAAGTCAATGTATAGTTTATGGCATAGAAGCATTGTGTCTAGCTGCTTCGGATATGAAACAAAAACCTGGATACGCCGCTTTTCAGTGAGTGAATGAGTTAAGAGTTTAAGTCACATCACCAATATTTCAGCCATATCGTGACTAAAACAAGTTATAGATTTATAATGATTAAAAATAAATTATCAACACCTGTCAACGAAGGACAGTAAAACAACTAGTTTATCACAGATTTCAATTTAAAACTAGTAATTAACACTAACATTTTTAACTATAGATGACAGGACAATATAAAAACAGGCGATATATTGCTAACAACTGAAGGTAGATCACAA